CAGTGAAATATATTTATGTTTGTGGTTGTAATGTGACAAAATATGGAAAAGTTCAAGGGGTATGAATACTTTTGCAAACCACTGTATACTGTGCAGCCCTAATGCTGGTGCTCCTGCTGCTATCAATGTAGAAGTAAATGACACCCCCAGAATGGTGGAGGTATTTGAACCAATCCTGATATAAAGCTGTGTATCGTCGGCATAACAGTGAAAACATATGCTGTACCGATTAATGACTTGGCCTAAAGGTAGCATGTACTGTAAAGGAAAAATAACAGGGGCCCAAGAACTGACTCTTGAGGGACACCACAAGTGACACAGACAGTCTGGGGCTTGGCATTGCCAAGGCTAACAGATTCCAGCCTAATGAAGAGGGAAGATTTAAACCAGTTCAGGACAGTATCACATAGACCATATAATTTAAAGAGGTGGAGACTTCTTCAGTAAGAGCTTCTCCAGACGAAGTCGTGCAGATTGCAACATGCTGGTGTTTTCGACTCAAAGATAAATTATGTGATGCTTCCCACATAGCAAAACTTGTCTGGCTCAGTTCTGGTCCACACAATGCACAGTTGGTCCAGATGCAGCAAAGAATGATGGCCCTTTTGTGGCCCAGACGAGGTTTGCCAGAATTGGTCCATGCATGGACATGCACCATTACCACAACTAGGCCTGTTGTGGCATACCATCTTAAAATCAGTGCCATCATTGCCAGATCTGGCCCACATCTGGTTGACAAATCACTTGCAGTGCCAGCTAACACCAGATCTGGCCCACACCTTTCTGCTGTGTGGGATTAGTCTCATGATATCTCGTGATACAAGATCTTTTTACACCTCTGTTTGTCACAAAGCCATCCCATACTTCTCTTCAGGACTGTATTCTGATTTATGCCTGTGAGTTTTACTTTTATGAAGAACATCATATTTACCGTTCTCATTTTCACACATTCCTCATCTCAGTACTTTGTGAGACCATGGCAAAGTACATACACATTTGATGGGAACATAATTGTTGGTTTTAACACGACTCGTTTCTTCATCAATGAGAATTTCAAAATGTTGGGCTCAGTCACTCAATAGCAAACATGTGATCTCCTGACTTCACTGTAAAAAACATTTGTTCATGGTTTTTCTCTTTTATCATTAGTTTTATATTACCTTTGATTAAAATGCACCTATTTCCAAATAAGCATAGAGAGGTCTATCTTGAGAAGTCCTGGTCCTTGCAGTCCACTTCGTGCAGATTTGAGATGTTTTCCTGCTCTGCTGATTAAAATTTACAATTAAAGCTCTGTAGAGTTTGATGATCTGCTTAGAAGGCAATTAAATAATTTAAATCAGGTGTGTTGGAGCGGAAACATTTGTAAAACTTTGAGAACGGTAGACCCTGAGGTTGAGGCATCTTTAAGGTAGGATCTTGCAGGAGACACAACCTATGAAATGGATTAAATATCAACCACTGTGTACAACATGTCTCGGAGGCAACATTGCAGTTGTCCATGAGCTTCAAACAACTTAGAATCCCCCAATGTGTTGGAAACCATAAGGCCTCAAGAAGGTCAGCCACAACCAAGTACCTACAGAGTGGAAGGCAGGTTCTGAAGAACCAGCTGAATGAAAAGAGCAAAGTCCAAGTCATCTAAAAGTACTGTATGTCCTGTCAGTCGTTGGACACCCTGCTGGCTGAAGCAAACACAAGGTTCTGATCTGTGTGAGTTGGATTGTGACCCAGGTATTTTACATCTGAACCAGTGGCTCGGTGTTGTTCCCTCAGTAGAGCTCAGGGCTTATTTTTCTATTTCCTTCATGTAGAGATCTGATACAATTTGTCACACTGGAGAGCCCATGGCATAACCTTCTAGTCTCTGTAAAAGCTAAGAAGAAACTTGGGATGTCAGTATAAACATGGAGTGGCTTCCCTGAGATAATCTGTGGTACAACGGTTGATTGAATACTTTGTCCTTTTCGGGGGTTTGCAGGTAGATGTTTTTGTAGGTGCTGATTGTGTTCTTCAAGATTGTGGCTCAGTAATGTGGTTTCTTTACCTTGTGCAGATGAGTTATGGACCACGGTGCACCTCTCTTTGCTGGCTGGCAAAATAGCTGTGTTTTGGTCTTATCTGAGAGATGTAATAGCTTTGTTTCCTGTAATGTAATATTTGAAAGGGGTCTCTGTCACTTTCATTGTGAGTTGTTCTGTTTCTGCCAAGGTGTCGTTCCAGATAGCAGCGGTCAGTTTCACAGCAGGTATTTCTTATGGGAAATGTTGAAAAATTCAGTTCTTTCACTTGTCATTCTCTGGCTGTGTCAGCATCCTGTCTGAACATATTATTCACCTTAATGAGTTCTTAATGTTTGTGTTGGTGACATCAAAGAACGAGCTTTCTGCAGTAATTTGTAGAACTTACCTTTTTAGCCTTTTGCCAAATCTGGAAACTTTTGCTCTGTTCAAATGAGATAGAAGTATTAACAGCTTCTGGCAGGTCTGATCAGTTCTCTGTGAGAGAGCTTTGATGGTAAAGTCCACTAATCATCTGTTCATCATTTAATTTTTTATCTCACTTTTCTTTTTCTGGTTGTGGGGCAGCTGATGTCAATCTGCAGTTGTCATTTTGTGAGAGACAGGGTTCATCCAGGACATGGCAAACTCAATTTCTCGGGAGGACTTGCCATGTATGTAATTTAATTTCAGTACATGTTCTGCGACAGCCTCAGCGGTTTGTTACAGAACATTAGTAATCAAATAGCAACATGAAAACCAAGGAACAAACCAGACATGGCAGGGATAATGCTATTGAGAAGTAAAAAGCGGGGTTAGTTAAAAAAAACAAAGCTTTGAAACATCTCGTGGAGCTCTGTTCATATGGCACAACTACAAACCTATCAAGAATACTCACACAGACACGTTCATCACCTAAACTGACAGGACACGAGCATCAATCTGAGCAGCAGCCAAGAAGCCCAGAGGAACTCTGGAAGAGCTGCAGAGACCTACAGAAATTCTGTAAAAGTTAAAAACTGACAGGATTAAACTGAAGTTTCAAACCTTTTATCTGTATGAGTGTGTCAGTGTGTGTTGGTGTGTGCGATGCTCAGATCTGATCTGTAATAACTCAGACTTGTCTCTCAGGAGCGCTTCAGATCGAGAACAGCAACATGTCAGATGAGGGCAAGTATGAGTGTGTGGCAGTCAACAGTGCTGGGACCCGGTTCTCCAGTCCGGCTAACCTTTACGTTCGAGGTAAGAGTTCTCTTGGTTCTGTTTACGTCTTTGTTGCTCCTCTATTTCCTTCATGCCGTTCACAATAACAGGCTGCTGAGGGTTACAGTCTGAGAACCATCTTTGGATTGAGCTACCTTTTTTGTTGTTTACAATGAGAGGTCTTCTGCATCTGTGAGACTGGAGAACCCAACCCCCCCTAATCTGTTTTATTGGTCAGATGTCTTTGGCATCTGTTTTCAGTTCACCCTGAACTAATGAAGTTTAATACCAAAGAAGAAACGGTCCTGGGTTCTGTACTACGATGCAGGTTTAACTTACCATTATTTCTTAAAGAGATCCAGTTCCACTAATCCTGACATCGAGGACTTGATTGAGTGGATGTGTCCCCTCAGGGTTTCTGACTCTGATGTGCTCATGTAAAACAGGACGATCAGAGGATCAGTCAGTCAGGATAATGAAGGGAAGTGGACATGTAAAATCTTACCACATCATTATATCATGAGTATATACAGCTACCAATATTATTTTTTGTTTGAGATAATGTTCTTTAGGTGTTTCTTCTTTAATATGTTGATAAAACTACATACAATTTAAAGGTTTTAAAAAAGGTCAACAGGCATAAAATCAGACTGACTGTCAACGTGAAATTGCAATTACCTAGAAGAACAATTTTTAATATTTTTTATGTAAAAGACAAAAAGCAATTCTGAGATATTTGAGATGAAAAAGGAGCATCATTTAGATGAAATGTAAACTGTTGTACACAATATTATGGGGATATTAAAAGTAAAACTAAGATATTCAAAAATATTTTAGTTACTAAAGGAAATCTCTCTTAAATCAAGTGTTGATGAAAATAGTTTCTGTTAGTCCAGTGTTAACATGGACGTCTGTTCAAACTGGGAGGTTCCTGCTCCTGCTGGAACACCTGCTGTTGTCTTTTAACTCTGAAAAACAGATATTTGCCTGTTTTATTCTCTTTGTTTCTCCTGTTTGTTTTTTCTGTTTCTCTCTTTGTTGAATCCCTCCATCATCATCATCATCATCATCACTGCACTTTTTTCATTTTTAATACTTTACAAACCTCTCCACTCAGATCAGCGAGAAGGTTGGTTTTGTTTTATTTTTATTTATTTATTTTTTTACTTTTCCCCCTCCTAAAAGCCCAGACTGGAGCCCTTGCTGCGCCGGCACCTAGCTGTGCGCCTCAGGCCCGTCCAGGCCACCCCGTCAGGTCCTCAGTGCCACCCTGTCCTCCTCGTCCACTGACCTGCACTCCAGCCCCTCCTTACCTCTCAGACAGGATGCTGGATGTAGCCCTCCTGCTGCAAATTTTGTGAAATGAGTTACTCAAACACAATTGGGTCAGTTTGAAACTGAACCGTTGGCTTTTTAAATTTGAGTCAACCTGATTAACAAGTGACTGGAAAAAATACAATTCAGTCAATTTTAAGACATTGAGCTCATTTTTTTGTGTGGAAGTCTCATTGCACAGGAGATTTGTCTAAAACTTTGACTTTAATTGCAGTCAATTGGTTGTCCGTAATCACTGGATGTTCTGGATCTGGAGTTAGTTCAGTTCAAGATGGCCGTCACAGCTGATTACTTTAAGGCAACACAACAATGAGTTTTGTTTGGTCAGTTTTAGATTCACTGAGCTACAATCTGATCTGGAAGTAGATGAGTCATTCACAACACATCTTGTGATTTTTACATTATTTACCAGATTTGACCAAAACCACAACTTCATTTCAAAATCTGAGGATCTGAGTCTAAAACTCTGGCATGAAGGGTGCTTTAATTGAAATGACGACAGAGCAAAGAGTTCCAGCAGTGAAATAACCACCTGCCTTGAGCGTTAAAGCTCGTATTTCAATGAGCTGCAGCTATTGGAGACTAATTGATGAATCAAACAACCCATGCAGCTGGGTTTGTGTTCCCAGCTTTTAAAAATCATGACATGCTTTTGTGTACTTTGCTTGGAAAAAACACTGTATTCTGGGCCTTGCATGTTATTTCACAGCCCACCTCACACACACGTACCCATCTGAACCACTTTACAGCCACCTTGATAGCCACACACTCTTTTAATTTAATCAGCTGGAGTAAAGGGGCAATATTATGTGTTTCCCAGGCATGTATTGAAATTCTATACCATAATAAAGTAACTATGTCACTTTAAGTTGCTGTTAAAATGTTGTTTTTATGTTTAAATCAAAAATACACTTGACTTATAATTCATTTTCGTTTCTAAATACCTTGAAATTGGCGTCTATCTCTATAAGAACCTCCTTCTGATCCCGTCATGCCCATTTCAGCATGTTATCACAGCCGCTTCTCTCTTGTTTACAACCTGCAGCATCGTAGCTCAAACATGAATGAATGAGTCAAAGCAAGATTCTGGGCATGTTTTTGATGAGAGGATAACATTATAACATTTTATAAAGCTAAAAAACGTTGATTTTTCATGATATTGCCCCTTTAAAATAGAAAGTCAGGTTTGGAGCAGTTTTTAAATATTAGTGTGATTTGTGGATCTGGGCGCGTTTTTCTTTCAGACGAGAGGTTCTTGTAGGTGTCAGAATGTGATTTCATTGTGCTTTGTACAATGATAATAAAGGTTTATTCAATGCAACTTCAAACTAATGATAACGAACATGATAAATTTAATAAGACTGCACATCTCTGTGACTTGAAGTTAAGAACCCATGAGAACATCATGAGATATTCTGGAGATTCCCTTGTAAACAGGCCACAGCCCGGTGAGATCCTGCTGTAAAAGGAAGAACTTTAGTCTGGAATGGGGCAGCAGGTAGAGCAGAACTGCTGTTTGAACTCACAATTAAGGCTTACTTCACAAAATTTGTTTTGACCCTTTTGAACTCCCCCGCATGCTGACTTTTTTGTTTTGTTTTGTTTTGTTTTGCCTGACTCTTCCGTCTCCTCACGCATCTCTCTGGAAAAAGGCTTGCAAAGAAAACAGAAGAGGAGTGAATATGGAAGATGTTCAGCCTGAGCCTCAGTGTTTGGATTTGATTTGCAGATTTGCAGGCCTGTGGTGCATGTTTTTGTTGCTTTTCTATTATTGCCCACTTTCAAAAGGCAAAGGTAAACTGTAAAGGTTCTGTGTATGTATGTATTTTACTAAAATATCTCATGAAGGACTGGATGAATTTAATAAAACTCACAGGAAGTTCCTCTTTGCACATCGCTTTCTAGATTTACGCCATGTTTCCCAACTCTTTCTTTACTGAAGATTTTTATATACACACTGTATCTTTTAAATCTCTACATAATGGAAAATACACAAATTCTAATAGTTCAGGTTCAGTCCATGCACAATTTATCACTCCCTTCCTCCACATGTGACCCCCCTCATAGTTCTTCCTGTTCTCTGCAGTCCGCCGGGTGCCTCCCCGGTTCTCCATCCCTCCCACCAGTCATGAGGTGATGCCGGGGGGCAGTGTTAACCTGACCTGCGTGGCAGTTGGCTCTCCAATGCCTTTTGTAAAGTGGGTGAGTGGAGAAGTGCAGCTGTCCCAGGAAGACCACCTCCCTGTCGGTCGCAACGTCCTGGAGCTCACAAACATCTACCAGTCTGCGAACTACACGTGTGTGGCCATGTCTGACCTGGGCGTCATCGAGGCCACGGCTCAGGTGGTAGTCAAAGGTGAGAAACAGGACTGAGAGGTTTCTGCAAACTGACTTTAATATGAGTAGATTAATAGAACCTAAAGCAATCCTCAGAGAGAATAGGTACTCTTACAGGTACTTTTTTCTAACAACCTTCCAACTTCTGTTTGGTTACAAGTAAAAAAAAAATGTTGCATGAATGGGGAAATGTGGGGAATATGAATATTTGTTCCTGTTCAGGGTGACAGGGAGCTGGGGCCTCATGTATCAACGGTGTGTACGCACAAAAATCTTGCGTACGCCATTTTCCACGCAAAACTCCAGACATATCAAAACTGAATTGAATGTGGAAATGTGCGCAGCCCCACGCCAACTCCAGGGCTGGTGTTCTGGTTCCATTGGCGACACTTAGGGGTGATTCTGAGAAACTGTTCATGATGTGAAAATGATTATTGTTCACAGCAGACACACATGATTATTAACAATTATGACATCCACATGATTAACAATTATTATATCCACATGATTAACAATTATTACATCCACAGGATTAACGATTATTACATCCACATGATTAACAATTATTACATCCACATGATTAACAATTATTACATCCACATGATTAACAATTATTACATCCACATGGACGCAATTAGATAAAAGACGCGCAAAGTTGTGCCAAAGATACATTTACCAAGAACAGATTCAGCCTTACTGGAGGATATAATAAATAGTGTAACAGACAGAGCATTTATTTATAAACAGAGTTTTGTGATCCACGAAGACGACGGGCTCATCAGCCGTTTTCAGGAATAATCCTTTTTCAGTTTGACACTGCGGCGCTCTGGGAGCGTGACACAGCGAGGAGCCGTGCGCCACATGTGCAGCAGCAGCAGCAGCGATTGAACTGGGGCTCCACAGCGTTCCAGAGGGAGCTGGCAGACCGATCAGGACTGTGCTGGTCCAGTCCACCCAAAGCTGAGTCATGACCGATGGAATCGTCTCATTCATCTGATTCTAAAGGCTGAGTTATGGTCGCGCTCTGGAGCATGCGCACCCTCGTGGAGGTGTTTTACTTGGCGTTTACATTGTTGTAGATTTCTCCAAAATGACACGTGGAAGTACACTTTACAACTTGTTAAAATGCTGTAAGTAGGAGAGCAAAAGCTGGACAGACAAACAGACTCAAAGGCTGCAGCGCGCGGCCTTTGCGGAGACTTTAATCATGTCACGTTATGAAAACTCTCCACTGAGACACAGAGACTCATTTCTTCATATCAGTTATGAAATAAACAAAGATCTATGTTCTACCAAACATCTAAGTTCCTCTGTGTTTACAGTAATTATGGTAATAAACTCATGTGCAAAATTAATATTTCCAGGCTCAGAATGGATGCGGTTGTGCACCACAGCAGCGTGCACACACCCACACACACCGACACACAATCACTCGTTCTTTGCGTGACAAACATATTTTATTCCTATTCTTACTTAGGATTTTTTTCTCACTCACATTATATTAAATTCATTTTCCTGAATCTAGAAATCGTTTCTGATAGTGCAGGGATCAAACAAACATGTCCTTCACACATGCAGGAAGTAATTTGCATCTGTTTAATGAAGGCGTGTCAGGGGAGGTGTCTTACCTGCGCTCAGTTCCACGTTAATTGTGATGTACAAAAGAAATGTGCGTGGATTCAGGTGTACGCACAGTTTGATACATCTGGATTTTTTTTTTTTTTTGCTAAATCTGACGTGACATGTTCGTACGAACCCTTCATACGAACAAAAGTAAGAGAAATACGAACATGTTCTTGCATGAGGCCCAATGTCCCAGAGGAGAAATATTAAAGAACTATCATGAAGATCAAAGTTTATGTTGCCATTTAACAGCTGACTACATGTGCAGCAGAAACAAAAAATATATAATATAATGCATAAAGATTACAAACAATCAAAAAACTAAAACAGTTTAGCCACTGGACTGATACACTATTTTAAAATGGAGCCCCTTTATCACCCAGGCTTCAAATGGTATGCAGCCAGTAAAGATCTTCTCTTCCAAAAAGGGCTCACTTTATCACAATAAAACAGTAGACTGACAGAAAATATTCTGAGGGTAGATTTTTTTCTTCACAGAAGATATAAAAGTTGGGTGTAAACAAAGAAACAACAGGTTTGTTTCTCTTAACTATTGTTTCCATCTCCTTCCTGCTTCAGCTCTTCCTAAGAAGCCAATCTTCCTCGGTGTGGTGGAGACCACAGCTACCAGTGTCACTCTGTCATGGGAGTCAGGAAATTCTGAACCTGTGTCCTACTTTTTGGTTCAGTACCGACCCAAACTGTCTGACAACGGGTTCCAAGAAGTGGACGGTGTTGCCTCAACTCGATACAGCATCGGTGGCCTGAGCCCTTTCTTTGAATACGAGTTTCGTGTCTTGGCTGTGAACAGTGTTGGTCGGGGGCCTCCCAGTAATATTGTGGAAACCCGAACAGGCGAGCAAGCTCCCTCATCTCCACCTCTTCAGGTACAGGCTCGTCTGCTGAGCTCCACCACCATCCTGGTGCAGTGGGAACCTCCAGAAGAGCCCAATGGTCGAATTCTGGGCTATCGGATCTACTACAGCTCTGAGGCCACTTCAAACCCAACGAGTCACTGGCAGCTACACAACACTGACGACAGCAAGTTCACCACCCTCTCAGGTCTGACACCAGATGTGACGTATAGTCTGAGGGTGCTAGGCTTCACTTCTGTGGGAGATGGACCGCTCTCTGATGTCCTGCAGATCAAAACCCAGCAAGGAGGTGAGGAAACCCTCATCTCGCTATGTTGCCATGTCTTGTGTAATCTGTTAGCACATGGTATAAATGTTTGAGGATATTCTCAGCTACTACCACACCAAGTTGTAGCTGAATACAGTGTGTGTGTGTGTGTGTGTGTGTGTGGGGGGGGGGGGGCGTGGTATTTAGTCAGCCACCATTTGTTCAAGTTCTTCCGTTTACAAAGATGAGAGATGCCTGTAATTGACATCATAGTTATAGCTCAACTATTAGAGCCAAAATAAGAAAAAAAATCTAGAAAATCACATTGTTCTATTTTTTAAGAATTTACTTGCACATTATGGTGAAAAATAAGCATTTGGTCAATAACAAAAAGTTAATCTCCTTACTTTTTTATATATCATTTGTTGTCAATGACAGAGGTCAAAGGTTTTCTCTATGTCTTCACAAGGTTGACACTGTTGCTGGTATGTTGGCCCATTCCTCCATGCAGATCTCCTCTAGAGCAGTGATGTTTTGGGGCTGTCGCTGGGCAACAGGGACTTTCACCTCCCTCCAAAGGTTTTCTATGGGATTGAGATCTGGAGACTGGCTAGGCCACTCCAGGACCTTGAGATACTTCTTACGAAGCCACTCCTTTGTTGCCCTGGTGTGCTTGGAATCATTGTCATGCTGAAAGAACCAGCCACGTTTCATCTTCATTGCCCTTGCTGATGGAAGGAGGTTTGTACTCAGAATCTCACAATACATGGCCCCATTCATTCTTTCATGTACACGGATCAGTCATCCTGGTCCCTATGCAGAGAAACAGTGCCAAAGCATGATGTTGCCACCCCCATGCTTCACAGTTGGTATGGTGTTCTTTGGATGCAACTCCGCATTCACTTTCCTCCAAACACGACGAGTTGTGTTTTTACCAAACAGTTCTACTGTGGTTTCATCTGACCATATGACATTCTCCCAGTACTTCTCTGGAACATCCAAATGCTCTCTAGCAAACTTTAGATGGGCCTGGATATGGACTGGCTTAAGCAGGGGGACACGTCTGGCACTGCAGGATCTGAGTTCCTGGTGGCATAGTGTGTTACTGACAGTAGTCTTTGTTATGTTAGTTCAGCCTTCTGCAGGTCATAGGTCCCCCGTGTGTTTCTGGGATTTTTGCTCACCGTTCTTGTGATCATTTTGACCCCACAAGGTGAGATCTTGTGTGGAGCTCCTGATCTAGGGAGATGATCAGTGGTCTTGTACGTCTTCCATTTTCTGATTATCGCTCCCACAGTAGATTTCTTCACACCAAGCTGCTTGTCTATTGCAGATCCAGTCTCCCAGCCTGGCGCAGGTCTACAATTTTGTTTCTGGTGTTCTTACATGGTTCTTTAGTCTTCACCTTAGTGGACTTTGGAGTGTGACTGTTTGAGGTTGTGGGCAGGTGTCTTTTATACTAATAACAAGTTCAAACAGGTGTCATTACTACATGTGATGAGTGGAGGACAGAGGAGCCTCTTAAAGAAGTTACAGATCTGTGAGACAGAGAAATCTTGCTTGGTTTTGACCAAATACTGATTTTCCACCATAATTTGCAAAGAAATTCTTAAAAAAAATCATGTGATTTTCTAGATATGTTTTCTCATTTTGTCTCTCATAGATGAGGTCTAACTGTGATGTCAACAGGTCTCTCTCATCTTTTTAAGTGGGAGAACTTGGAACAACTGGTGGCTGACTAAATACATTTTTCCCAATGTATCTGTTAAACTGACTGACTAATATTTGTGTATGCCAAGGTTTCTTAGCTGTGGCAGCCATCTTGAATTTGGTTAACTCCAGAAATTAATCAAGTTGTAGACAAACACCCAGTTCAGTGATTAGATTTCATCAAAATCCACTCATTAGTTTGTGAGATATTTGGCTAAAAGAGCTGACTGTAGAATATCATGGGAAAGTTTTAAGCAAATTTTGCACAATCAGTTAATTTGTTTTGTGGATTGGCAGACTGGGGTGGTGGTTCCTCTCTTTAAAAAGGGGGACCAGAGGGTGTGCTCCAATTACAGGGGCATCACTCTCCTTAGCCTCCCTGGTAAGGTCTTTTCAGGGCTACTGGAGAAGAGAGTCTGATAGATAGTCAAACCTCAGATTCTGGAGGAACAATGCGGGTTCCGTCCTGACTGTGGAAAACTGAACCAACTCTTTACTCTCACTAAGGTCCTCGAAGGATTATGGGAGTTTGATAAACCAGTCTACATGTGTTTTGTGGACTTGGAGAAGGCATTCGACTGTGTGTGTGTGTGTGGGGATGCGTGTGCATGTGTGTGAGTTTAAAAAGCCATGCCAGGGAGGAAGGGTTGGGTCTGTCAGCTGCGCGAGTATGGGATTGTGAGTCCATTGTTACAGGCCATTCAGTCTCTACACAAGCATTGCCGGTAGTAAGTCGGACCCCTTCAGAATGGGAGTTGGGCTCTGCCAGGGTTGCCCGTTGTCACAGATTCTGTTCATAACTCATATGGACAGAATTTCTCTGTGCAGCCAGTGGGCGGAGGGAGTCCGGTTCGGTGGCCTCAGGTTTTCATCTCCACTGTTAGCAGATGTTGTGATTCTGTTGGCGTCATTGCGCCAGGATCTTCAGCTCACACTAGAGCAGTTCACAGCTGAGTGTGAAGTGGCTGAGATGAGGATCAGCACCTCCAAATCTGAGTCCATGGTCTTCAGTCGGAAAAGGGTGGGTTGCTCTTTCTGGGTTTGGTGTGAAGTTCTGCCTCAAGTGGAGGAGTTCAAATATCATGGGGTCTTGTTCTTGATCTAATTGATTCAGTTGGTTTTACTCAAAATGTCCACACAGGGGCACCAGGGGGAAGTTAGGACAATTCCAAGGGCCCTTGACTGATGGGGCCCCCACAAAAAAAGACAAAATTGTTGGGGACCCCTGTCTATAACAACATTAATGAAATCTTTGTTTATTCTTGCTTTTGGTAGTAAAAGTTAAATGTTACAACTCCCAGACCAAAAGGAAAACATTCATTTTTACCGAAAACCCCCTCTGTATCTGCATAAAATAGTTTGTTCCTGCAGAAGGCATTTAGCAACATTCAGTAAAATCAGAGAATAACAGAACGTGTATAACTATGCTGTCTAGAACAATAATAAAATTATCATAAAAGAGGACATTAAAAAATTCTAGCTTTAGTGCTTTTGTTTAGATTGAATCATGGCCAGTAAATACCAATTAGCCTATTGATTTCCATATGTCAAATCAGAACTTACATCATAATTAAATGATCAGTCACATTCTACTTTGGAACTGTAAVTAATATTGTATGTCACAGGTCTGTGGGACAGCAAACAACCTGGAACCCAAACGTCTAAGTCAGATAAATTTCAAACGCCACAAGGCAGAGCATCATTTCAACTCTAACTCCAGGGCTTTAATGACACAAGTACTCCCAAACACACATCATCTTTCACACAAAGACTTCAGAGATTGTGTTAGCAAAGCACAAATTCAGCCACTTTTCCTTCTCCAGAAAACACTAATTGGAAAGTGACATGATGATGTACTGACAACATTGAATGTAAGAATTTATGTACTTTATTACTCCTTGATAAACAATAAAAAGGTGTCAAATTACATTTATGGTTTTGATAAAAATCATTTTTACCTAAAATGCAAAATTATATACAGTTTGTTCAATAGCTTTTTCTGCATGTGGAATGTATTGCCTTCATAAAATATGTTAGCAACAGAAGATAAAAATGTGAGCAATCAAAT